ATAAGAATAGAACGAAAGGAGTGGAAAAGGAGAACGAAAAGAAAGGGAAGATGGAAGGAAGAGAGAGAAAGATAAAAATAGAAGGAAAGATGGAAGGGAAAGGAGAAGAATGAGAAGGCAAGGAACAAGAGGAAAAATAAGAACGAAAGGAGGAACAGGAGAAGGATGAAAAGGGGGAAAGGGAAGGAGAAAGATAAGAATAGAACGAAAGGAGTGGAAAAGGAGAACGAAAAGAAAGGGAAGATGGAAGGAAGAGAGAGAAAGATAAAAATAGAAGGAAAGATGGAAGGGAAAGGAGAAGAAGAATGAGGAAGAAGAGAAGACGGATGGAAGGAAGAGGAGGAGAAGGAAAAAGAAAAACAGACGGATGGAAGGAAGGAGAAAAGGAAGGAGGAGGAACAGCATAGGAAGAGGAGTAGGATAACAGCAGGAAGAGAGGAATTAAATGAAACCAATGCAGAATTGAGCTAGCAGCCCAGGGAGGGAGGCTCGGTTTGACCTCCTCTTACAAGCTTAGGAAGATACAACGCCTTTGCCTTTCGCACGAGCAAGAAGCCCAAAGTCAAAACCCACGTCGGGGGGCTGAGCAACGGCCAACCTTCCAGACATTCTCTGGGCTCCAACCAATTTTCTCCCGCAGCCACAAGAAATCCAGAATCCGCCCTCCGGAAGCCCCCAAACGGCTCTTTTAACCTTCCCCGACTAGCCGGGAAGCCACGCGCGCACCCGGAAAAGGGGAGCCGAGTCGCGGAGGCAGAGCCGGGAGGAGAATCGGGCCGGGAGGCCTCGTTCTGGATTCCGCGGCAGCTCTCAGGCCTCCGTGGGGGTGGTGGGGGTGGTGTTGCGCGTGTGAGTGGCGCAGTGCCAGGTGGATGGAAGGAGAAGCCTGCGCCCTCTTCTCCTGCTGCAGCCAGACCGGGGAGAGGGAGGGAGTCATTCTCCCCGTCTGGTAACCAGCAGCTGCGGTAGCCCCAGGGGTGGGAGGTGTGTGTGTGGGGGTGTGGGGGTGTTGGCATCGCTGGCAAGGCTGGTGTTTTCCTCCAGGGCGATGGAGATCACCAGATCACCAAACTGCGGACGAGGGAGATGGGCAGTCACTAGCTGCAAGGAATCCCCCCGGGAAGGACCCTCGACCCGTCAAAAACAGTGCTCAATTTATCCGGGTGTTTTTCTCTCCTGCAACCTCCTCCCTCTCTCTCTCTCTCTCTCTCTCTTTCCGCCCAAGAAGAACCCGGTGGAATTACATTCCCTTCACCTCGACCAGATGGGGAAGCTTGAAGAAGAGCAGCTGGAGTGACAATCACCACCCCCCTGGGAAAAATCACGGAGCCCTGGGGGGCAGAAGGGGAGAGACAGCCCCCCCCCCCCCGCTCAAAGGTTCGGGCACTGTGGCCTGGGCCTTCCTTCCGGCACCCGGAACGTGGCTCGTTGGGAAGGGAGGGGGACGCGAAACCTTTTGCAAACAGCCGGGAGGTCATCTTTGTCCGTTTCGGGGGTCCCTCCCGGTTACTGCAACATCCCCATCTTCATCTGGAAGGAAAGTCCATCGCCCCGAGTGGCTTGCTGCAAAAGGGGAGGAGGAAGAGAATAGATTGGGGGATTGGGGGGCTCAACAGAGACAAAGGGAAGTCCTTAGCTGCTCTCCACCATTCCCACCCACCCGCTCCCGGGATTCCCCCGAAGACGGCAAACTCCAGAGCACTGGTCCTCAAACTATGGCCCGCGGGCCGGATATGGCCCACCGAAGCCGTTAATCTGGCCCGCGTGGGAACAACTCCAGAGCAGGGGGGTCCTCAAACTATGGGCCACAAACTACGCCAGATACGGCCCACCAAAACAATCTGGGTGGGACCACCAAAGCCATTAATCCGGCCTATCCATTGACCCCCCACCCACCTTCTGGAGCCAAAAACGGGCCCGTTTTTGGCCTCTAGAGAAAGAGAGAGTGGAGGGAAACACACACAAGTCCTTCACACACACCACAAGACAGCACTAACCTGCTTTCCACCTCCAGGAGCCCCACAAATTAAAGTTTAATTTATGTTTATTGTTTGGACTGCTAAATTGGCTGTGTCCAGTCACATGGCCACCTAGTCCCACCTACCCAGCCGGTCCAGCTCCCCCAACAGCCTGAGGGGGCGTGAATTGCCCCCCCCCCCCGTTTAAAAAGTTTGAGGACCCCTGCTCCAGAGGGTGGAATGGTTGCCTTCAAAGCAATTAGGTTTCCAGTGTGTGTGTGGGGGTTTGTGTGTGTGAAAATAAAGGGAGGACTGGATGGACGGACGCCTGTCAATCAGCAGTGCCCTCACCCCGCACTTTAGGAAATTTGATTTTGCTAAAACTGACGCTCGGGGCGTCAAAAGGGCGTTTTTTTAATTCCTTGAAGAGGTTTCGCTTCGTGTCTTAAGAAGCTTCCTCCGTTCTGACGGAAGCTCTCTTCTTCCTTCCGTCAGAAAGGAAGAAAGCTCCCTGGACGAGAAGCGAAACCTCTTCAAGGAAAAACAAAGTTAAGTTGCCTTTTTGGAAAAAGTCACCTTCTCTGGCTTGGAGAGCTGCCAGGCCAAGATCTGCAGAACTTGGCAAGGAGCCTCAGAGAGTCACGAACCAATGAAGCGAACTAATTGTCTCCTGCAAACTCCACTCCCCTTTCGCTCCTCTTTTATTCCCTCTGGGAGGGGCCATTCACCGTCCACCTGTGGCCTTCCTCCCAAGTCGACCCTCGTTCTTTAGCTGTTCCCTTCGTCTGGCAACTCTGTGCATGCGCACACTGGGAACAGGCTCCAGCTGTTCTTCTGTCCCACTGATGTCCGACTCCGAAGGCAGCTGATAACTGTCGGACGTCCCTGGCCCCCTCTCTGCCTCCGACACAGAGCCCTCATCAGAGCCTTCCCCAGACTCCAGGACTGGCCCAGGTTCCTCCCCAACCCTCCCCACTGTCCGAATTTTAGTCACCTCTGGGTGACTGAGACTCTCCAAAGATATGACGCTTGGGCTGTTTTGAAGGGCAGATAGGGAGATGGAAGCCGAGTGCCTCGCCTGTGGGAATTTCAACGGTAGGCGCCGTGAAATAAGAAATTCTGAAGCCGGTTTTTAGCTATGAAGTCAACAGGCCAGCTGCATCCTATATCTTGCAGTGGTAACAGAACATCAACTCACCTTGTTTATTTCCTTATGCCTGTCTTTCGTGACAATTTCCTCCAGGATCTCCCCGTCGCCCTTAATAAGCCTGCAAAAGAAACACATCGACTTGCCCAAGCAATAGATGTTATCCGAAAAACATATATCACCATCATCTTCATTTAACAACCCACATCATCCCTTGCACGGTGGAGTCTGGAGAGCTGAGGGTTGACTGGCCGGATGCCATGCTTGTCGCCAGTACGGAGTTTTCTTCAGCAGATATATTCTCATTCTGCCCAGGGCGAGAAATATCTGCCTCTACCTATGATCGAATTCCCAGCCTCCTGATTGTGAGGCAAGAGCTGCACTCCGTACTGGGGACAAGAAAGGCATCCGGCCATGAAAACACTCAGCTCCATTCAGTTGCCTCTGACTCCACCCCGATGAAGGGATTTTTTTGGGAGGGGTCATTAAAAGAAGAAGATTGCAGGGAAGGGATCCCCATTCAACCCCCCCACCCCCCGCTCCTACCTCATCCGTCCTGTTTCAGGGTCGAGGACTTTCCGTATGACGCTCTGGCGGGCGTCCCATTCCTCTTTCGTCATGGGCTTCATGGCCTGGATACGGAACTTCTGCTCGTCCGTGAGGGCTGAAAGAGGAACCTCCGTCAGAAAAGAGAGGATGCCATTTAACTCTTTACCGACCACACAAGAGGCTGCCTTTTGCCACCACCACCCCCAGGGAGAAAGGACCCAGGCTTTTTGGTCTGCCCTGTTTTGGACCCCTGTTCATCATGAACAACCAGTGCGGGAAGGAAGGAAGGAGGGAGGGAGGGGAGAAGGGAGAAGGAAGGAAGGGAGGGAGAGAGAAGGGAGGGAGGGAGAGAGAAAGGAAGGGGGAAGGAAGGAAAAGGGAAAGGGAGGGAAGGAAAGGAAGGTAGAAGAGGGAGGAAAGGGGAAGGAAGGAAGGAAGGAAGGAAGGAAAGGATGGAGAGAGAAGGGAGAGAGGGAATAGAAAGGAATGGAAAGGAAGGAAAAAGAGGGAGGAAGGGGGAGGAAGGGAGGGAGGGAGGGAGAAGAAAGGGAGGGGGAAGGAAGGAAGGGAAGGAAGAAAAGGAAAGGAGGGAGGGAGGCAGGAAGGGAAAGGAAGGAAGAGGAAGGAAGGAAGGAAGGAAGGAAGGAAGGAAGGAAGGAAAGGAGGTAGTAGAAAGGGAAAGGAGGGAGGGAGAAAGGCAGGAATGGAAAGGAATGTAGAAAAGGGAGGAACGGGGAAGGAAGGAAGGAAGGAAGGATGGAAAGAGAAGGGAGAGAGGGAATAGAAAGGAATGGAAAGGAAGGAAGAAGAGGGAGGAAGGCGGAGGAAGGGAGAAGAAAGGAAGGGAGGGGAAAGGAAGGAAGGGAAGGAAGAAAGGGAAAGGAGGGAGGGAGGCAGGAAGGGAAAGGAAGGAAGAAGAGGGAGGAAGGGGGGAGGAAGGAAGGAAGGAAGGAAGGAAGGAAAGGAGGTAGGAGAAAGAGAAAAGAGTGAGGGAGAAAGGCAGGAATGGAAAGGAAGGAAGAAGAGGGAGGAAGGGGGAGGAAGGAAGGGAGAAGAAAGGAAAGGAGGGGGAAGGGAGGCAGGAAGGGGGGAGGAAGGAAAGAAGGGAGGTAGGAGAAAGGGAAAGGAGGGAGGGAAGGTTGGGAGGAAAGAAGGAAGGAAAGGGAAAGAGGAGGGTAGCCTCCCGATTGTCCCCCTCACCCTCTTTGGGGGAGATTTTTTTGCCCAGCCTTCCCGGAACTCCGTTTCCATGCCTCCAACGCCGCCAGCCTTACCAGGTCCGGAATCCGAGCCCGCCTCCTTCTGCCACTGGTCCAGCGAAGGGCCGTGGGTCGTCTCCTCCTTCTTGCTCCCCCCCTCCTCTTTCCCCCTCTCCCTCTTGGCTTTCTTCTTCTTCTTCTTCCGCTTTTTCCTCTTCTTTCCTTTCCCCCCCTTGGAGGCTTTCTTCACCCTCTGCTTTTTCTTCTCCGGTTTGGGCTTCTCGTCGGCGGACTCGTCCGAAGAGGCACTGGAAGAGGAGGACGATTTGGAAGAGGAGGAGGAGGAGGAGGACGAGCCGGTCTCGGAGGAGGAGGAGCTGGCCTTCCTCTTCCTCCTCTTCTTCGTCTTCTTCTTCTTTTTCACTAGAAGCCAACAGGGGAGAAGAGATAAAGCAGGTCCTCCCCAACCTGGCGGATCATTTATTATCACGTCGCAACCGAACCGCCAAAAAATTCATCTCCAAAGCTGCGACTTCCAAATGGACGTTGGGGAAAGGCGGAAGAAGGATGGAGACCTCACCCTTCCATCTTGGTCCCCCTTTCAAATGTCCAATTCCTCAAGTTCCTAGTCCTGGTGGAAGTTTCACGGAAGGGAAAAGCTGGCTTGGCTTAGCCCGTCAAAGCCAAGGAGGAGCCTCCCTCTAAACCAGGGATGGCGAATCTTTTCGGCACCAAATGCTCACACTGGAACACCTGTGCAGGTACATGCATGGATGCAGGCAGGGGCGAGACCAGCTGGCCGGCACGCACCATGCCTGGTTTGGGGGTATTTTGCCCCCGAGGGAGAAAGGACCCAGGCCTTTTAGTCTGCATGGGATGGAGGGAGGGGGAAACCCTGTTCATCATGAACAACCAGTGCAGGAAGGAAGGGAGGGAGGGAGGGAGGGAGGGGGAAGGAAGGAAAAGGGAAAGGAGGGAGGGAGGGGAAGGAAGGAAGAAGAGGGAGGAAGGGGGAGGAAGGAAGGCAGTAAAGGAGGGAGAAGAAAGGGAGGGAGGGAGAAGAAAGGAAGGGAGGGGGAAGGAAGGGAAGGAAGAAAGGAAAAGGAAAAGGAGAGAGGGAGGGAGGCAGGAAGGGAAAGGAAGGAAGAATAGGGAGGAAGGGGGGAGGAAGGGAGGGAGGAAAGGAGGGAGAAGGGAGGGAGGGAGGGAGAAGGAACAGAGGGAGGGGGAAGGAAGGAAAAGGGAAAGGAGGGAGGGTGGGGAAGGAAGGAAGAAGAGGGAGGAAGGGGGAGGAAGGAAGGCAGTAAAGGAGGGAGAAGAAAGGGAGGGAGGGAGAAGAAAGGAAGGGAGGGGGAAGGAAGGGAAGGAAGAAAGGAAAAGGAAAAGGAGAGAGGCAGGAAGGGAAAGGAAGGAAGAAGAGGGAGGAAGGGGGAGGAAGGAAGGCAGTAAAGGAGGGAGAAGGAAGGGAGGGAGGGAGAAAAAAGGAAGGGAGGGGGAAGGAAGGGAAGGAAGAAAGGAAAAGGAAAAGGAGAGAGGCAGGAAGGGAAAGGAAGGAAGAAGAGGGAGGAAGGGAGGGAGTTTTCAGGCCATTTTTCAGGCTGTTTTCCAGCATTCCACCACCCATGAAGACCAGCTGGCGACAGGGCACGTGTCTACAGAGAAGGCCCTGCGTGCCACCTCTGGTATGGGAGCCACAGGTTCGCATCGCAGCTCTAAACCGCCAGGGAGCCAATAGGGAAGGTTGAGGAGGGGTCCCCGCCTTCCAACGATGTTCCTTTGGGAGCCGCAGCTGAGCATTGCTTCAGATTCACAGCCGTACAAACTGAGCTGCGGTTTGGGGAAAAGCTGGAATATATA